ACATTGCACGTTAGAGCGCTCTGGAGCGCTCTTAATAAGACCCGCTCCTCAAGACCACCTCGGAAGGTGGACTTCTGGAGCGGTCCAGAAGTCCGCTTCCTGGACCACTTTGAGCGTTCTCACTCACCTAAGAACCGCTCCTGAGGAGCGGGTCTTAGTTAGAGCGCTCCAGAGCGCTCCAACGAAGAAAGTGAGAACGGGGTCTAAGAGACCTATTTCCATCATGATTGCCGCGATTTTTATATAGTTTTCGTGAATGGAAGTATGAAATCAAAGCTTATTTTGTGATTATTACGGCCATGTTTACTGAATTTTGATTATATCATTTTCTAAAGGAAAGTTTTCACAAGAAAACCATTGGACTGACAGCTCAGTCGCAAGCTAACTTCAGTCAACCCACGTACAGTATGCTCGGCCTGAGAGTGAGCTGCGCTAGAGTCAAAGAGTATGGGGGGGCCAAGCAGGCCAATATTTGTACAACTATACAACTACACATACGTCTATCCATCCATCGAAGAACCCGTCAACACAACAGCGTGCGGGCCTAAGTGCCATAAATTTGTTTCTTATATTTACAGTAAATTACAAGAAAGCATTAAGTAAGGTTGTGAATTGTACATTTGCATATTAATAGTTCAATATCAAGCAGACAGTAGCATGTGACTTCATGCATTGCGAAACAGTCAGTTGCGTAATGAGTAAAATTGTTTGGGGGGGGGGGGTGCAGAAAAAAATCTGCATCACCATGCACCATTCTTGCATGTTACATGAAGGCTCCAAGAAACGTTTTTCAAAGTTGGGGGGGGGGGGGTCAGTTAGATCGCAGCGGGTTTCAAGGGGCTATAAACCCCCGAAAGCTCAGGGGTTTTAGGCATTTAATTAGGGTCAGATGAGCATATTTTTAATACTTTATTTGTGACACTGGCAGGTCACTAATTGGCGTGGGGTCCATACGAAGATTTGCGTAGTGTTGCGTACCAACTACGCTGGCCTACGTTACTATATGCTGAGGGACGCAAAGCGGTACGCAAGATGGACGCAAACAATTCACCATGTTTAATTTTTTTCGCGTACTTTCGGCGTAGAAACTTGACACAGAAAGTACGCCTTTTTACGCAACACTACGCTACTGTACGCCATGCCTATGCAACAGTACGCTACCCTACGCCAGATCGACAAAGCAGTAAAAGCTTTCCACACAGTAAGCAACCGTAAGCAACCATAAGCAAACCTGTACACCAGCCTACACATAACCTACGTAAGGACTACAGTGAAGCAACATTTTTCCATTAATACGCAGCCTAATTTATGCGTAGTCGGTACGCAACACTACGCAACTCTACGCAGTTCCTGTGTGAAAGAGGCTTAAAGAATAACTAGCGGTAGAGTTTTTTTTTATGAATGGCAAATAAAGTTCTTGGTGGTTTTAATTTAGAGAGTCTCTATAATATCTATTTACACCCCTCACCCCCCTCTAGAATCCCGCGGATTTCCGCGGGTCCTGCTAGTGTATATTATAAACAACTCCCAGTACACTGGCAATTTTTTAAGATATGTAATTATGCTGCATTATTGTAGAGCGCTTAGAGACTTCTGACAAAGTAAGTGTTAGGCGCTATATAAGCACTGTAATTATTATTATTATTATCTATGTAAACTCCTAAAAATTTAGTTGAATTAACTCTGGTGAGCAACACATTATCAAATTTTACATTCAATTCATTAAAGTCACCTCCAACCTTTCTTCTCCTGAATACCATATAATTAGTTTTTTTCATATTAATTAACAACAAGTTTATTAGCAGTGAACCATATGCAAACTTTACTCAGTTCTCGGTTTAAAACCTCATTTAAATATTGCACAGTTTTCCCTGATAATAATATATTGGTGTCATCAGCAAATAAACAAAATTAAGCTGGTCTGACACAAAGTGTAGATCATTTATTTAAAAAATAAATAAAATAAAGGACCAAGAACACTGCCTTGGGGTACTCCTGTTGAAAGGATCTGTGATTTAGAACAAACAATATGTCATGCTTTAATATGGAAGGTGAATATATGGATAAAAACATGCCTACATGTATACAAAATCCATTATAGCAAGGGGACCCCCCATTTTTTTCTTCATATATGGATAGAGTATGAGTCGGAAATATGATTTCATGTCTCATTTGGCCTTTTAGTGTACTGTGACATTATCATAATGGCCTTGGAACTCAAAATACCAATTTGCATATTATTATGTGTGCATTTTTGGGGAAAATTGATTGTATCTCTGTAAATATTGATCAATTTTCTTCCAAATTTTGATATGTTGTGGCCAAGAGGAATGCTTACATTCAAGATCAGTCAACACCATTTTTCATTTGCGACATGTCAGAATTTTCTTACGGTATATGAAGTAAAGTTTGATATGGTTCCATAGCCATTTTAACCGGGTGACTCTGGGTATTGGTGCTAATACATTATTTTGTATACACTTGTCCTTATTTCATTATGTTTTAAATTCTATCCTCTAAACTACGTCTTGCTCTACTGCTACTGTTTTTTATCTACAATACATTACTTATTTTTTCCAGGAACCTATACAGTATATTCAAGCATTGCTTTTTAGTAGGTTCCTCACAATCTACCTAATCTATTATATGAATTGAGAAAAATTGAGATGTGCTCATTTATAATACAATTGTATTGTATATTTTTTAATTTTATATGTACCGGTATGTCTTTTTTTCTTGGCCCCCAAAATAGGGGTGCGTCTTATACACAGGAAATTTACAAAGTTGTTAGGAGTGGTCATTGATGATTGTTTAAACTGGAAAGAACATGTTAAAGACGTTTCATGTAAAATATTAAAAGCAATAGTTAATGTATCAAAAAAGCTAAAGATCATCCTTCATTTTATAACTAACAAGAACGCCAAAAGATATCAAACCAGAAATTCCAGTAACCTGTATGTTCCTTTTTATAATTATAACATCTCATCGCAAGCTTTGGACTTCCCTTTCTGTTGAACTTAAATCTAGCCCATCACTTAACTATATTAAAAGAAAACATAGAAAATATATTTTTAGCTCCTACTGTCATGACTATTGATCAACTTATTCCTTATTATAATGCTTGTTTCATTTAGGGTGCTTGTTTATATTCTGTTTGACTTGACTTTGTCGGTTTGTAAAGTTATATTCTGTGGTTGTAGTATACATGTATATTGTCAACTTATTATTGATCAACTTATTCCTTATTATAATGCTTGTTTTATTTAGGGTGCTTGTTTATATTCTGTTTGACTTGACTTTGTCAGTTTGTATAGTTATATTCTGTGGTTGTAGTATACATGTATATTGTCCAATTTATATATTTGTTAGGGTTCTGCCTTGAAAGGCCAATGGCCTATGTGGCTCCCTTCCAGTACTGTGATGTATGTTTATACTGTATATGCCATTACATATCATTATGTTTTTAATGGTACGCTTTTAATGGAATGTGGAAATAAGCTTGAACTTGAACTTGGAACTTGAATATAAGACTGATATTGTTAAATAAAGAATGATGATCGAACTGTGATGAGACGTACAATGTACTGCTTGATCGTGCTATATTTCACCAATTGTACATAATCATAATTTTCAAGATGCTGTTTATCTTTTTTTGTCAAGGCTGGCTTCCTGTTTGTGTATCAGTTTATACTTAACCAATCAGATTTACATGTATTTGTAATCCTATATACCAATGTTCAGCGGTCAAAACCAAAGATAACTGTGTAAAGACTGCTTTATTTCACAAATTGTACATACTGTATTTTGTAATTTTCTAAGATGCTGTTTATCAATTAACATTTAAGAAATATCTTTTTTGTCTAGGCTGTCTTCCTACAGTAGTTTACCAATCATATTCATTTGTAATCTTGTATACATGTATCATTGTTACACAGTCAAAACCAAAGATAACTGTGTTAAGACTGCATGACTTTTTTTTATGTGTATGTTTATATTTCACCAATTGTACTTATTTGTAATTTTCATATGATTTTTAATTTGGTTTATCAACATAATAGAACAATCAAATTTGCTTTTCCTACGTTCATATTAAAGGTTCAGATGTTGTTCAGATGTTGTTCAGTAGTCATATAACCAAATATTTAACAATTGTGTTGAGCCTGATATTCCTGTGTGTACAAGTACATGTACATGTATGTTCATACATAAACGTCACTAATTGTATCAATCTCTAATTTTACACTGCAACTCTGTATGATGTGGTCCAGCAATCAATATCATACAGTGATCAACTGTCAAGACCAACTTTTCCGTATAAAGTGGTTCTTCATTTCCCACAATAGTATCAACTTTTAATTGTTCAGCAATCAATTTAATACAATTTTTTCTGTTACGTATTTCATAATTTTATGATGAGCACATGGACAGGTACATGTACAGGCATGTAAGGGTGCGTTCAAGCGATGTTTTGAAGCTAGAATCACAAATCGAAACGCCGTTAAAAAACTCTGTTACTGCGGGAGACTTTCAAGCGATTTTCCATTATAACGCTGATTCTCGCTAATTTGAAGCCCAGCCACTTCTCACCACACCATGCAGTTTGACCCAGGAAGAATAGATCAACTTCGCCGCATGCTTTCTGTCTGTGTTTACAGTCGACTGTCAGTCAAACCGGAGGCAGGCCACGATCGATAATGACGTTATAGAATCATGATTGAGATCTCCGTTCGTTCAAACAATTTTTAGCGACCGTGATTCCGCAGAATCACAATACAAAACTTATTCAGCGTTTCATGTTTGTGTTTTTAAACACGTTTATTTTCACGACTGACGAAAAATTGCTTGAAAATGCTTGAACGCAACCGTGTTTTAAACTAAACGTCTTTGAATTCTAGGGTGAAAAAGTGTCGCTTGAACACGCCCATAGTCTAAAAGGTATACCTATAACAGCATTGTATCTTGTGATACATTCATAAATCAGAAAATGTCATAAAACTTACGAATTAAACGTGATGTCTTTGGGAAGCGTGTCCGAAATATCAGAATCCCTGTATACACTTTCATTGAGCTGAGAAAGCTTGGTGAACGTAAAATTATCATTGGTTGAGTTCATGAAACTGTCGTACAAGTCCACCACTTTCTCCACAATTTTCTGTAGAAAAAAGAAGAAGAAACTGACAATTTATATTTATATTAAACTCTCAATATGCAAGGTACAGCACTAGACCTGGTGTGGGTAATTGATCTAAACTGCTTTTTGTATTTAAGAAAACTACATGTAAATGCACAATCTCAAATCTGAAGATATAACTTGCTCAACCGACTATTAAAGCTAAACAAGCACTGCCCCCCCCCCTTTGAGGGGGGGGGCAGTGCAATTCAGTACAATTCAGTACAATTGTACTTCAGTACAATGTATACACAAAACTTGAGAATGATCCTACAGTATCTGTTTGGATTGAAATCAATAAAAATTTAAATTTGAATTTAATTGAACTCAGTACACAACACCCAAAATGTGCCCCCTTCTTTTTTGTTGTTGCTTATCAGAGAATTTGAGATTCAAAAGGCATAGAAATATCCAGATGACCTTAAAGCTTAATTGTTATTGCATTTCAAGAATACTGTGCCCCCTCTGTATTCATTCCTTTTTATGGGTCACAAAAAATGGCTATACATGTATCTTGCACTCACTCGAGCAGCTCTCTCTTTCCTGACAAAGTAGTCCCCTAAAAGGGCCTTGACCCGTTTCACCGTCTCGTTGCCGTTCTTCTCTTGTAGGGTGTAGTTGGCGGTATCGAAGAAGTGCTGTGTATAGTGGGACTGCAGGCCTTCACTTGTGAGCTGAGGAGAGACAGGGAAAGAGAGACGGAGAGAGAGTTAGAGAAAAAAAGATGAAGATTGTAATACAGGTTAATTGATGTGTTTGGTAACTGGGTGGAGAGAGAGAGAGAGATAGAGAGAGATGGATGGGGAGAGAGAGAGAGAGAGAGAGAAAGAGGAGAAAAGATGAGGATCATTGTAATACAAGTTGATGTATTTGGTACCTGGGTGGAGAGAGAGAGAGAGATACTCTGTATAGAAATGGGTGGGAGAGAGAGAGAGAATTAGAGTAGAGAAAGAGAACAAGATAGAAAGAGAAAGAATATGGATAAAAGGGAGAGGGAAGAGGAGAACTTTTGAGACTAGATAAGAAGAAAGTGGAGAATCATATGGACAAAGACCATGATAGAATAGGAAAGAGAGAGAAAGAGAGAGAGAGAGAGAGAGAGAGAAAGTACAAAAGTATGAAAGTAAAGTATTCCCTTAAAGAGACAGAGACATGACAGAGCTAGTACACAAATTAGAGTATTGTAGGAACAAAGGACTGGGAGAAGAAAACAGTAAATAGAGACAGACAGATAATGACAGAAAATTAGAAAATATTAAAAGGGAATGGGAAAAGATGTTTATTCATGCATAATTGTAACTGTTTATCTTAGTAAAACGATGAATTTAGTTAAGTTTCTTGTTAAAAAGGGAGCTCATTATCACTAAAATCCAAGATAAAACAAGACACTTACATGGACAATATAATTCTGTACGAGTGTTGCCCAGTTCTCGACGTGAGCAGACAGCGTCCCATCCTCCGCATCTTTACTGTAGCTGTACATATGAGACTCCCCGTACGCAGTCTCCCCGTCGCACGGTCTTCCAAACAGCACCATCGACACCACCGCTAATGCAATAATGCATCTGGAAGCCATCATGAGATTACGCTCTGTGCTTGTGGTCGATTCGCTGGCTGACTGGCTCGCTGGCTGGCTAAGGATAAAATTGCAGACACCTCCTGAACCAAACACGTTCAGTGAAGGTCTGGCATGGCGGCCGAAGCTGTTTTTCACACCCCTGTCTTTGAATTTTTACCCTGCATAGAGATAGACACAGACATGAATGTGAGAAAAGGGTTTTTGATAACTGTAAGGCTGTATAATGTATGAAAATAAGCATTGCTATTATAAATGGCTGACTTTGATGTAGCAGCATTGTGGGATAAAGAAGACAGGTGATTTTATTTTTGAAGCAGATTTAAATTGTTATGTTGAAAGAAAGGTATGTGAAGTAAATTTAAGCATAAAAGTACATACATGTACATGTACGCAAACACTTCAGTAGGAAAAATCGTTCCCAATTTTGTATCAAACAAAAATTTGTCATTCAGACAGAAATGCAGATGATTTCAAATGTCAATTTTCACATAAAAAGTACAATGGTTGCGCAAAAAGACACAATACAGGCCTATGACACAGATGTACAGTACATGTACTGTACATGTACCATGCCTACAATGTACAATGCGCTGCACTATTCAATAGGTAGTGGAATACATACAATCTTGTGCATGTTTGTGACCAGTACACTAATGTTTATCTTAAATACCGGTACAATAAACATGATCCACTGAGAGGCTCAAGTTATTTGGTGAAATAGTACCCCCCCCCCCCTCCACCACCCCTCTTTACGGTTCTCAGCATAAAATATGCAATATGCACTGACATACCTTTACATACTACAATGTATGTTCACTCTGCATGCTGCACAAAATGAAAGTTCCACAGACTGAAATTACAATGTGGCAAAAAGTGGAATGCAGTGTATATAACTGTAGATCTACACATTTCATTTCATTTCAAAGACTTTATTTTCTGCAATCAAACAAATCAGTTATACAACAAATATGGATAATTATATAAAACATAAGGTATGCAAACAATATACAAAATATAGAAACAAATGTATAATACATGAGTAAGAGTAAACTTATACGTTGGGCCATTGCGTGTATAAAGAAAGAAAGCAGAAGGTCGCCGTTATAAGCAAAAGCTTGAGTAGACGGTCAACCGAGCTAAAATAAAAATGAGATGTGAAATATTGGCAAATTAACAAGAAGAGGGGGCCATGATACTCAAATGATATATATTACAATTAAATGTGAATATAGACAGTTGTATTCAATATAAATAATTATAGAATTAGCATATGAATCTCATATTTATATGGCTACTAATATTATACGTTAATGACAGAGATAAGAGAGAAACTAAACAAAAACAAGGGTGCAAGTGGTGCGTGTGTGTGCAAGTGCAAGTGTCCTCAAGCGCCAAAATGTTGAATCATCAGTATTACTATGTAACGCAGACCAAAATTTAATGTAGTTTCTAAAGTTTTAGAAAAAACGCTTTAAATTTTTTTTTTTTTTTTTTTTTTTAAACCTTTATACATTATATTGTGAAATAATGTGTTTTTTTAGTGTAGCTTTAAATGAATAGAGAGATGTACACTGTTTAATATGTCTAGGGAGTGCATTCCAAATGTCTGGACCGTGATATCTTATGGACTTAAGCGCTAACAAAGTTTTAGGATTGTGTAAATGAAAATCAGTACAATTACGCGTTGGATATGAGTGAACATGGGAATTAGGAATAAATACGTCATGAAAAAGAGGAAGTGAATTTTGTGTGTATTTAAACATACAGATTGCTGTTTGATATAAGTGCAAATCACTCACTTTTAAAATGTTTAATCTATAAAATAACGGATTTGTATGAGCTAAGTAATTAGAACGAGTACAAATCCTAAGTGCTCTTTTTTGCAAGAGAAAAATTATATTAATCTTAGTTATACTACAGTTCCCCCAAACTACATTACAGTATGTAAAATAAGGTAACACTAATGCATTATATAATGTATAAAGTATTTTCTCGGGTACAAGATCCCTCATTTTACCAATTACCCCAACTGCCCTTGAAATTGATGTTGTAATATTATTTACATGATTATTCCAAGTAAGCTTTGAATCCAAAGTTATACCTAAAAATTTTGTCGATTTCCTTTCAACTATAGAAATATCATCAATAACAATGTTTATAACCTGATCAAAGTGTGTTTGGGAAGCACAAAAATTTATAAAACATGTTTTATCTAAATTGAGTGACAATTTATTGCATTTAAACCATGTTGAGATTTTAACTAATTCATTATTGAGAGTATAAATTAGAGTATTCAAGCATTTATGAGAATAAAATATGTTGGTGTCATCTGCGAAAAGCACGTAAGTAAGAAGTGGTGATGACTTTACTATGTCATTAATATAAATAAGAAAAAGAAGGGGGCCTAAAATTGATCCTTGTGGAACACCACATAACACATTTAAGTTAGGGGAATTAACTGACTGAAATGAAACAAATTGCTTTCGATTAACTAAATAATTCTTAAACAAGTTTAAGGCTGTGCCTCGTATACCATAATGAGTAAGTTTTTGCAACAAAATGTTATGATTCATGGTGTCGAAAGCTTTTGACAGGTCCATAAAAACCCCAATTATATGTTCCTTATTATTAAGTGTTTGAGTTATTTTATCACAAGATTGTATCAAAGCATAATCAGTAGAAAAACCTTTTCGGAATCCAAACTGATTGCAAATAAGAGTATTATTTTCTTGTAAAAAAGAATAAAGGCGTTTATAAACAATTTTTTCTAAAATCTTGGAAATGACCGGCAATAGCGAAATAGGGCGATAATTTTTTATTTGAGTTAAATCATCTTTTTTATGAATAGGAATCACTTTGGCTATCTTTAAGGAGTCCGGGAAAATGCCTGTCGATAGTGATAAATTACAAATATGAACTAGGGGAGAGGCCAAACAATAAATAATTTTTTTTAATAAATACACACTTATTCCATCATAACCGCATGATCTACTCATCTTAAACGATCCAACTATCTCTAATATTTCATTTTCATTCACTGGAATAAAAAATAATGAATTTTCATTAGCATCAAATAAATAATCCTTAAAGTTTTCATTTGAGTGTATTGTCGAGGCTAAACGTGGACCTATACTAACAAAATAGTTATTGAAAGCAGTAGCAATTGAATGAGGGTCCGTGATTTCATTACCACTTTCAACTATCATATCAGAGCATACTTTCTTTTTAGTTTTTAAGAGATCATTAATTGTTTGCCATAATACCTTTACATTCCCTTGATTAGATTCTATTTTATTTGAATAATACCGTTTACGTGATACACGAATTAAAGTTGTTAATCTATTTCTATAATGTTTATATCTATCTTTATTCTGAGCAGTTGGTTTACGCAATGATATTTTATACAAACGATTGCGAGTTAAAATTGATTTCATTAACCCCCGAGTAATCCATGGCTGTTTTATACTTATATTATCTTTTTTTTTAATAAATGGCATATTCTTATCTATATAAAAAGAGAGTTTATGCAAAAAGTTTTGATATGATAAATTAGCATCTTCAACCGAGAATATCTCGCGCCATTGTTCTTTGGACAAATCAGAAATTAAAGAATCAATAGTTTGTTCTGTTTCTTTCCTCTTTTTAACGAAAATATTTTTCCTAGTTTTCTCACTAATGACATTATAGCATATAACAAAAATAGGTAGATGATCTGATATATCTGAGTACAGAATACCATTTAAATGTTCTGCATGTATGACATTTGAGAATATATTATCAATTAATGTTTCACTTATTGTTACATTATCAATTCTAGTAGGTTTAGAAATATGGGGATAACAAGAATATAATAACATAGTATTACAAAATTTCAATATATTATTGTTTGTTTTATTAACTAAGTCTAAATTATAATCACCCATTAAATATATATGTTTATTTTCCTGCGATATCTTATTCAAAACGGAATCTATTTGATTTATGAAAGTATCTACATCACTAGTTGGTGGTCTATAAATAGTTCCTATTATCATATTTTTACTTTTACTCACACTAACTTCTATAAATAAACTTTCGGAACCTTCAATTTCTATATCAGTTCGAATTTTGAAAATAAATGTATTATTTATGTATATGGCAACACCTCCTCCTCTACCATTCTTACGGTCTTTACGTATCATTTCATAATTATAAAGATTAAACATTTCGGGTGAATTTTCATGTAACCACGTTTCTGTGATGCCAATGGCCGAAAAGGGAAAATTATTAATAGAGTCCATTAATATTTCAAAAGGAAGAAAATTTTTATTCAAGCTTCGAGCATTTATATGAAGTAAACTAAATTGATTACTAATGTTATTAGTTGGTCTTAAGGTAGATTGATCATGAATGTTATTAAAATCGAAATCAATCTTCTTATTAAATTCATTTATTGTATAATATTCACTATTGTGTTCAATTAAATTTTGGTCATCTATTAAAACATCAGGATTCATTTAATTTGAGTGACATATTAACATGGAGCGCGCAAGAGTGAAGGAGTGAAGGGTGAGCGTGCAGTGACAAGAAAGTGAGAATATCAAAAAAACATAATTCTATAGATCTATCCAAAAATAAAAAATACATAATTACAATATTGAGAAAATTATCAACAAATATCATGACCGCGGTGTCCTCAAGCAAGACTCCCGATTAATTATAACTATTATAAGTAAATCTAAACACACATCAGTGCAAATACAAAAATGACAAGATTGGACATAAACCTTCAAATTTCAATGAACAAAATCATGTTTGAAAATAACCTGATTACGTCTTGGGCAGGTCCAAGCCATTCGGACTGCGACGCACAGGACACCCAGAGACCCCAAACAAGAAACAACACATGAAACCACTCATACGGCCATCCCCCGGCACGAGTCTGCGGCCACCATGGGCCAGCTCACCCGCGGAAAGTTCCAGCTCCGACCAATCTCCCAATCAATTCCAAATGCAACCAATGCGCCGCGCGACGTACGGGACGCTGTGGTCCCGCACGTCACGCAGCACATCAACCACATCTAAAACCAACCAAAAAACTGGCCAGAACCAAAACCCCCCACAAACGAACCAGCCCACAACAGCCACAGACCCACACCAAAAGACAGCCACACAAACAATTCCACACGCTGCCACCTCCCGTTCAAAGTCTCCAAACGTCCCGCACGCCACAACCCAAACAGCTTGGACCTGCCCTCCTACAAAAGATACAAATAATACTTATATGAATGAAGCGATTTCAAAGTGTTATTACATATTCAAGAGAACATAAAATAAGCAGTCATTATTCAGTCATTATTCAAGATCTACACGTTTAAATGGTACACATTTATACTCAATTTAACAAGCAACGGACAGAAAGAAAAAAGAAAGGCGTGCCCAAGAAAGATGTGTACAATACACAGCTATACAACCTAAATGTGG